CCCCCCTACTGGGTTCTCCCCGTCGGGCAGAACGAGGGTTTTAAGTGTGGGAATTATGAAGTCAACTTCTTCAGGGGGCGGGGGGTGTGGCCGAGAGGGAACCGTCCAGCCGAGCGGGGCGAGCGGGCTCTCGGGCCAGCTGCAAAGGCACTGGGGTAGAGAAAGTGCAAAGCGCTCCCCTTAGAGGGGACGCTAACATTTCCCGAGGACCGGGGATTTCAAAGAGTTAAAAAGGAGGAGGAATATTCATGTCATGTAATCAGACAATAGCTAGGCTTGGTCTCAGCGAATTACTTTGCGAGTGTGTGTGTGTGTGTGTGTGTGTGTGTGCGTGTGCGCGCGCGCGTGGTTTCATGGAGATGGAGGCCGGGTAGTTCTTAGAACTAAATCTTTGCAAAAGAAACTAACTACCAAAAATAATTTCATCTTTGCCTCTACTAGGGTCTAAATCCTAGTGATCGGCCTGAATAAAGTGATTCACTGACGGGGGCGGGGAGGGGGGGAGCCTTTTGTGACACTGTTATATCGCCATAGGTGCTGCTTGAAGAGTATATATATTGCTAAGAAAGACATTGGCTCCTGAAAGCTTTTGGGTAATGACTCCAGTGGGCATTCACACTTTTATTTTGAAATCTGAGAGATTTAGCAGACAGTCAAGGTTATGTGCTAAGCATAAAGGAGTTGATTTTCCTTGTCTAAAATTATTCCCAACCTAAATTTAAGCACTGGAATAATTAAACCAACCAAGTTTATTATTATTATTATTATTATTATTATTATTTTTCCTTTTAAAATAATCTCTACTAGATCTTGAAACCTTCAGTAATTTAACAAACAAGGCAAAAACATCTAGACGATTAAAGCATAATTCACGTATCCAACTGACTTTGGAGAGGAGGAGATGAAAAGGCCAATATCAAAGCAAACTGTTAGCAGTCCCTTCCTGTTTTTTTTTTCCAGAAATTATGCTATGTGAGGCAATTTTAATTTTGAAAATGATTATAAAAGTTAAAAGTGGTATATGAGGAGGAAATATACTAGAAGTTGAATGACCGTAGCCTTTTGGGCAGTCCAAGGTGCTTCAGATGTCATCTGTTCTATGAGAGGGTGGTTAACTCGTACACTGAATAGTGATTTTTAATATCTAAAATGTGCATTTAAGAAATAGATTACATTATATTTTAAGGATTATACAAGTATTTTGTAATTTATATTAGAATCCAAGTTCTATTGGAAGAAACTAAGGTAGTTCATGGAAGTGCCTTATTTTTTGTAGAAACATCCCCCCCCCCTCTTAGTTTTGTTGAGAAGAGTTCAGATTTACTTATTTAGGTTGACTGTTAGTGAAGAAAAGCTGCATGTATTCATCTTATTTCCTAAGTAACTTTTGCACAGTTTGATTTTTTAAGTTGGATGTGGAGAGTCCAGTGTACCCAATGGAATTAAACCTTTAGGCATGGAAATAGCATGAACCAAAAAGCAAAATTTTCTTTCTGGAAAGATGAATGTTGATCACTTTATAGTAGTAATAAATACTTGAATTTATGATAGCTCTTTATTATTTTACTGTGTAATCTCAGTCAGTTATACTATAAGACCCTTAGAACAGCTTTTTTGGTTTGTTTGTTTTTAAGCATAGATTATTAACCCTACTTTACAGAAGAAGTTTTGGCAGGTGAAGTGACTTTTCCTGGTTCACATGCTACAGGAGTGAAATTGAATAGAGTTCTCTTGAGTGTAGATTTAATAGACTTTTAAGTCCCTACAGTGCTTCTCATCATAGCATCTTTGGACTAAATCAAAGACCAGCTTTTATACTGATCTAAGAGCCTGATGACAAGCCTTTGTTAGAATTAGGGTAGTACTTTCAGGAGAAAATTAGAGTTAATCAATGAAGTTATATTTTTCCTTGGAATTTAAAGTTGTTATAAGTAATTCTGAGTGAAGATGGGCTAGTGGCTTTCTTTCAAGAAGGGCATAATTTAAAATACAGATTTAATAATGTTTAAGTAACCCTAAAATTTAAACCTTGCACATGCTTTGGTACAAACTGTCATAATGTTACCATTTCCTCTTCCAGTATTTTGTTGTAACCTTAAATGTCAAACAAACAAACAAACAAACAAAGAAACAAAAAACACCCACATTGGCTCCTGGTTATGATTTCTCAGAATGACACAGCTGTTCAGCATGTGTATTACATGCATGGCAAGTGAACTAATTGTTTTATATATTCAAATGTGTTGGATCACTTTTTTGTTTTGCAATTTCCTTTCAATCAATGTAAAGAAAATTTGTAGCAGTTAAGAAAGAGTCTCGTTTTATTCCATCTTTGTGATAGTGTTTGAATAAAATTCAAAATAAAAAAATGGAAACAATGTTAATTTTTCATTATTAAGTATTTAACAATAGCAACAGTGTATGTGTGTGTGTCCATTAATGTGTGCCCTGTGGATCTACCCTGCTATTTATTTTAGGGTTAATTGAACAAGTAAAATTCTTACATTTGGGTAGCCCACTGTTTTGAATGATAAGCAATAATTCAAAGCATTACCTTGAATTATTCTAAAAATCGCCCCCATAAATTTTTTACATAAGATATCAGTCATGAAAGTACTTTCCTCTTATCTTTCTGAAAGTTCCTCCTACTTTTCAGTGAGTCCTGACCAAATCATTCACAGATAACTGAATTTCTCCCCTCAATAACTCAATTTATATAAAGCATTACATAAAAAATTAACTATTGAGCTGTTAAGTCTTGACATTTTATTTAAAAATATCACCATAAACATTTTCCCCAAGGACAGGAATATGTAGGCAGAAAAATGAATTGACCTTGCATTATAAAACCAAAGGATGCTTCAGAATCAACAGCCAAACCAGCCTTTCTCCACACCAGCCTTCTGCAAAATCAAGACCTCTAATTAATAGCTCCTGGCCTCAGTGCAACAGCTAAAATTGAGATGTGTTTGATTCTTTTTAAAATATAAGATAGAGCATACAAAAGAAAATGAGATATTTCTGATTATTAAAATGCCGTGCAATTGATCAATGTTACATCCTAATGTCGTGTTGTCCATTTTAAAATAAATTAATAAATTATTTTTAAAAATACCCTGTGCGGTTCATTTATTTCATGACTGGGAGGCTCTTATTAGCAGCTGAGATGTGAAGTTACTACATTAGCTAATGTAATTTATGGCATCTGTTTTGTGGAATATTTGAAAGTGTTAGTTTGTATTGTTGGGATAAAAACCAGACAATGCAGCTCACAGGAAACAAAGGAATATTTAGTGTAATTAGCAGTATATTAACCTAAACAAATTTATGTACCTCAGTCTATTTCATAAAGCTCATATCTAATTCGGTCACTTTTATTTGTAGTTTACTGCAGGAATTTAGGAAGAGAGTATATAAAAATAATAAAATGGGAGTTTTAAAGTCAAGAAGCTTAAGACTGGTATGAAAAAATTTGTTGATAAAATAAAAAAGTAAAAACTGATTATTATATAAACAGAATACTCTCTTGATTGTATATTTTCCTAAATAAAAGAATGAACATTAATTTGTTGAATTATTTAAATCATTTAAAAATAATTTATTGCCCACCCATTAAATGCCAGATACTGTGCTTGTTGTTAACGATATAACAAATAAAGGTAACATGAAGGTACTAGCAATAAGGGGTTTGTAAACTTGCAGGGGAAGAAAGGTGATCAATTAATAAATGTAGTGACATGTTACTACAAATTGAATTAGGTGGGATAAATCATGAAAACTTTTCACTGAGGTCAAAATATTTGGTTTGCTTAGAGGAAGGGGAAAAGATACAATTAGGCTAATGAGCTGCAAAGCATTTGGTGAGTTGAGGGCTGGGTGGCATTATTGGAAACCATTTCTTTACTAAGACCCCCCCCTTTACTTTCTTTAAGCAATGATGTGTGAAGTGATGCCCACGATTAATGAGGACACCCCAATGAGCCAAAGGGGGTCCCAAAGCAGTGGCTCGGACTCGGACTCCCATTTTGAGCAGCTGATGGTGAATATGCTAGATGAAAGGGACCGTCTTCTAGACACCCTTCGGGAGACCCAGGAAAGCCTTTCGCTTGCCCAGCAAAGACTGCAGGATGTCATCTACGACAGGGACTCGCTCCAGAGACAGCTCAATTCAGCCCTGCCACAGGTACGCTTCCTAGTAGCACTTGTCCTTCCTCCTGCGATTGAAAATGTGATAAGACTTAAGTAAGCTTTGCTTTATTCCCACTCTTATAATTACTTTTCCCTTTATAAGATATGATATACAGGTTTTGGTGAGATGAATTTAAGAATAATTACTTCACATAAAACCTTGCCTCGAAGAAAATTGTGGTATGCTGGTGATGGGAAGTGTGAAGGATGAGTTTCTATCTGGTCTTTTTTCTTTTTTTAAAAAATAATTTTATCTGTATGTTTTGGTGGGGGTAGAAAATCACCTGTTGATCAGCTTCTAATCACCAGAAGATGGGAACAGTTGATTTTCTCTTCCTTGCTTTTTAAACACAATCATGACATTTGGAAGTATGTACTTTCCATTTTCAGTTGTGTGTTCTGTCTTTGGAAGTGATAATAGTTTGGAAGACTACTGTCTAATTATTTTTACTTGTCTTTCTTTAAAAATGCCTAACACCTGCTTAAAAATTCTGGGAGTTATTGATATATTACCCTCTCCACTCAAAAATGTTTCAACTAGCTTTTTGTTTTTTTAATAAACTATTTTGGAAATTAGAAAAAAGGCAAAAGTTCAGCACTAGTCTCACAAACTTAAAAGTGTTAGATGAGTTATTTTTGAATATTTTTGTCAAGAATCTTATTTTATGAAAAAGAATATAACATTTTTAAGGATTTCCAGCTGATTTATATACAAAGTTAGTAATGAAAGTCAATTTTCTTATTTAAAAATAACATAATTGTGATTATTTTACGTATGGGAAAAAGCATAGAATATAGATGAGGTTTTTAATAATCACGTCCAATATACACTATATTTTTTGTGTAAATACAAGTTTGATTGGCCTTCTGCTTTAAGTACAGTATAGCAGATGTTGAAGAGTTGACTTATCTCCATGAAATTATATCTTGTAAATATTATGCCTTCATAAATATTAAAATTATATAACCAAAGTTGATAAAATTCTAAACCCAGCTGTATTATTAACTTGCGAGTTGATTCTTTACAAATATCTTCATCAAGAATTTTACTCTTCAAGCTAGATGTTTCGGTCTTTGCAATTGTTCTTCATAAGGTAACTTCCAGAGTGATCACCATTGTGTTTACTATTTACTAGGATTATTTGAGTCGGTCAATGCTGTTGTTAAAGTGTGGTCCCTGAACCGATTATACTGTTGATTATCTTCTGTGACAAGCACAGAATGAGACCATCATTTCTCTTTCTAGATAGAGTGTTCTATTAAATAAGCCTAAAACTGTATTATATTTAGGAGCAAGTTCAACATACTTTCAGTATGTCCTGGGACAAGTAATCAAATGTTTATAATTGAGTTGCATAAATGCTACATGTGTTCTCATTTTCTTATTGGAATTGGACTCTTTGGTCCTAAGTGTAAGAATATGCATGTACATTTATATTTTTATATTTTATTCAAGCCTAATGATGTCAGTTTGGATCCTAACTCTATCAAAGTGATTCTAAGAATAATTTGGGTTTTTAAAATGTTTTCTCGATCTTTACAAAAATGAGTGATTCTTATCATAAGGATGCTGTAAATAGAAAGTACTAGAACAACATAGTTTTGGGGAAAAAGAAAAAACTGGAAATGTTTTCATACATGATGATAATGTATAGCTAAATCTTTTCTTAAAGATACAAGAATGAAACAATTTAATTCTAGAAATTTAGTTGTGTTGAATATCTAGTTTATAACATGACCTGAAAGTTCAAATTTTGAATTTTAGTCAATGTCTTATCCAAACCTTTTGGGACCAGTTGTGTTTTAGAATTCAGAATTTTCCTGAGTGTTCTGTATGTATATAATATGTATTCTGGAACACTCTTGCAGATGGATTCTGGATAGAACCCTGTAATTATACATTTTCATATCTGAGGAGAATTCTATGAATATTTCCATTGCATGGAAAAAATAAAGACTATAAATGTCTCATGTTAGTACAGGCCTGGTTTTGCCATCAATCAAGGTTGAAGCACACAAATAAAATATCAGTTTATAGAGTGCATAGGTTGGGGAATTATATACTAGGGATTATGAACCTGTACATTTAGATGCATATGGTTTCAATCTGTTTACAAATACTTTGACACATTTTTCCAATATTGTTTTGTAGTTTACTATTATAAATATTGAATACTCCTCGTAATCCACAGGTTCTTAAGACAGTGATGGTCCTGCCATTTCTTTAAAGCAGATTTTTAGTAACCTAATCTGTACCTTAAGGGCTATAAGTTTTCTGTAAGTAATAGAGGAGTATTCTTTAATTGGTATCTTTGAATCTTTTTGAATATTTTGTAAGCAATGTACCTGCACTGTTTGGTGGCACTGCATTTGACATTTAGCTTGAAGGAGAAAATGCCCTAAATGTGAGTTTTGAGGCAGAAATAAAGCATGTAAAATTGAAAATTACTGTAATAACATAAAAATGAAAATTATTTTACCAAATATGGGAGAGAATCGAAGCAGAATACTTTTAGGTGTTGATGACTTTGTACTTTGCTTTAGCCACTTTCCCCCCTGTCATTCTATGAACAAACGCTGTAGCAGTGTTAACAGTTCTCATCATGTAAAGGGTGTGTAGCCATAGTATTTAGTTCTTCATTATGTGAGTGGGTGTAAATGTTTTTAAAGAGTGCTGATGAGTTTTACTTATTCCACATCTCCAGACCTGATGTTTCTAAACTGCACACTCAATTTTGTACCTTACACAGATCCATTTAAATGTTCCACAGAACCTCAGATACAATATGCCCCAAACTCAGTCATCATCTGTCTCCCACGCCTCAACCAAATCTGCTTGAATTCCTCACTCAGACACCTGAGAGTCCTCACAGATGATGCTTTCTCCGTCATCTCTGAGTTTAATCCTCTTTGGGCCATACTGCTTTTAATCTCTTAAGTGATTCTCAAAGTAATTCTCTCTATTAATTTTTTATTTTCTGGTTTTTTTTTTTGCACCTGGCCTTTAGTGTTACTCCTCAATATCTTTGTCTGACTCACTTCTCATCCCACCCTAGACTTCATATCTTCCCAGAAGCCTTCTCTGAACCCCCAAGTACATTTCTTCTGTGTCCCTTACCCTTATCATTTACCATACTATCATTAAGATATCTGACTAGATACCTGTTTACCAACCTAGATTGTAAGCTCCTTGAGAACAGGAATATATGGTAATCATCCACAGCCCCCTTAACCAGTACAGTAGAAGTAGTTAGGGTTTTCAAGGTAAAACCAGAACTAAGTATATGTGGTTTAATGTAGAAAGGGCAATGCATTTGAAATAGGACGATCTCGTTTGTATTGTGATTCCACCATCCATCATTGAGTCAGGACTTCAGATTTCCGTGCTACAAAAAGTGATTAATACAAATACCTCACATGACAGTTTATGATGATTAAAGAAAATAATGTAAGTAATAATATAAGTAAAAACTGATTAACTTGTACAGCATTAAATATAAAAATGCTTGTATTTGTTTTATCCAGAATGCCAAAAGATAAACTAATTTCTATATATGTATGTAAATGAGCATTAGAACAATTTATTATTGATAAAATAAACAGTCTAACGTTTTTGAAATCAGTGTAAATATTTGTTAATTACTAATATGCTTACTAAGAATATTTAAAGAAAAATTAAGGGCAGTGAGATATCCATTGCAAAAATGATATATAAAAGTTTAAAATTCATTTTTATAATTTTATTTGAAATATATTGCAAGCCTTCTGTGTATCATTAAATGGTTACATATGTTTGTAAAGGGAATAGAAAAAAAAGAATATAATTGGCTCCCAGAGAACTTAGACAAGAGTAGCTTAGCAAAAAATATGTAAGTGGCTCCAAATTAATATAGTAAAAAAGATTATAGAAATACTGAAAATATTTGAGATATAATATTGATCATGATTAACTACAGAAAGTTTCATGTGGAAAGTGATTTTAGAGAGTTATTTTTAGGAAAAGCTTGGAAGTAACTCAAGGGCATTCCATGTGCTGCAGTAGTTTTGCATAGGACCCTGCTCAAGGACATTTGGGGGATAGAAATTCAGCCTATACTCTGTTTTCAGGGTTAGGCTTGGGGTTTCCTAATATTCACAAAGAAGACAGAGGAGCTAGTAGTATGTTTTTTTTCCCTTATAAATGACTAAGTAGGAATTAGAAAAGGAGAATAACTAACAGATTTGCTTATTGAAGGGTTGTAGGGTAGAAATGAAGTTTTATATAATGGCAGTGGAGCAGTGTGGCCTGCTCATATGTGTGGTGACAGCTAAGGACAGGAGTTTGGATACAGGATAATCAGTAAAATTTGAGTGAACTGGTGATATAAGGTAATAACGAAGAAATATTATCCTGATGTTTGATTTAAGATAGATTGCATAGTATTCATGCATTAGCTATCTATTGCTAAAATAATGCTGTATGACAAACAATACAAAAGCTCAGTATCGTGCAAAAATATGGGTTTATGAAGTTCAGGTGATCTTGACTTGGATTGGTTGATCTTGGCTATGCTCACTTATGTCACTGGTTAGCTAAAGGTTGGCATAGTTAGCAATACTGGCCATTGTCTGATATAGACAGCCTTAGCTAGACCAATTGGGGTCACTCAGCTCTACACGTGGGGCTAATCCTGCAATAGGCCAGATTATTAATGGTCTTGGCAGAGGAGTAAGAGAAAAGTGGAAACAAACAAGTGTTCTTTAAGCTTCTTCTAGGGTATTTTTTGGTAATATTACTTGGCCAAGACCAGAGACCAAGTGGAAAGCAGTACGAAATTACCTGGAAAAATTACAGGAGGGATGAAGCATGGGACCATAAGTGAAATTCATCTATTGCTAAAATAATGCTGTGTACTCTAAGCTAAAAGAGTCACTGGCGTCATCATTATGTGAGGGAAACTTTATCATGATAATGTAATAGTTTTGGTGAAATGTGGGAATTTAAAATAGGATTGT